AAAGTGGGTTAGCATAGCACACTGCTTTACACATGGCTTAATATTTGTTTAATAGAGATGATTTCTTGAAATAGAGCTCTGGAAAACCAGGCTTTGATAAAGCCCATTGGGATTCAAATGGAAGTACTTGGGCATGCCTTAAACCCAATAACTCTGGCTCTCACTGATTGACCAATTATAGGTCCCAGCCCAAGCCTCACTAAGTCATTGTTTGGGTTTTGATGACTCAGAGCGAGTATACATAGCAATTGTTTCTGTTCTGGCAAGAAGCCCTGAGGGTCCTCCCCTTCCAGTTTACTTTTTTTTTTTTAAGTAGGCAAAGTGGGATATCTTTTGCCTCTTCTCTTACCAAGCGTTAAATCACTAAATGGGTGTTGCCTCAGACAAACTGAGACCTGGGAAAAACCTTAGCTTAAAAAGCCTAAGATCACCCGCTGCGTCTGGGGTCGTCTCCAGTTGTACTGATCTGTGTCTTGCCACTGGACTCAGATGGCTGTAGAGGAAAGAGGGAGCCAGATGACTTTGCACAGCCCTGCCTCGCTTAAATCCAGTTCACTTGCAAGTCAAGACATTACCCTCCTGATGTTATTGGTCCTCTTCCAGAACAAAGGGCAAACAACAACACCAACAACAAATTACATTCACGCAAAGTTCAATGTTAAGATTGGAGCAAGAATATAATTATTGATTGGGGGTTGTGATCAGGGAAAGCTTCCTAGAGGAAGCTCACCATAAGGGATGGTTTGAGCAAAGGCATGTTGGTGTGAGAGCATGATTCTAGTCCGTGGAGGAGAGGGGTATGACATAAGGTTGAAAGGTAAGATGAATGACACCAGAAATCCTTGTATGTCAGGCAAAGGAGTTTGGACTTTACTGGGCAGGCAATAGGGAGCCAGTGAAGGGACTTGAGCAGAGGAGTGGTATGATCTATGCATTAGCAAGATTACTCTTAAAGTTATATGAAGAATGAATTTGCAGGAATACTTGTTAGAAAGGTATTGCAGTAAACTTAGTGAGTGGCAATGAGTGCCTGTATGAGGGGGTGGTAGTAGGAATGGAATGGAAGAGGATGGGAGGTATGGCAAAAGTAGAATCCATAGGACTTGGTAACTGATTGGATGTGGTGGTGAAGGAGAGGAAAGATTGAATGATAAGCTCAGTGTTGTGAATTTGGGAGCCCAAGTAAATGGTGGTGCCACAGAAGGAACTGGTTTAGCATGGGAAATAAACAGCTTGACCTTGAACATGTTCAGTTGGACATGCTCCTGGTGGGCCATTCATGAGTTGAAAATCACATTTAGGACTTAGGAGAAAGGTCAAAGCTGAAAGGATAGACCTAGGCCTCTTCTGCCTAAATATGGGAGGTGATATTGAGAGAGTGAATGACAAGACCAAAAGAAAAAGCATAGATAGGGCCAAGGATTGACCACTGGGGAACACCCATAGTAGAAGGTTTAGAAGAGGACCAAGTGAAGGAGAGGCAGCTAGAGAAGTAGGAGAACCAATTTATGTTTGCAAAACAATCAGTCTTGATTCTGGACTCTTCCTGGCTCACCAGTCAGCATTCTAATTACATTTGGAGTCACTATGTCTAGTTAGAAGTTGCTTGGAGTGAGAAGGGAATTCTTTGGTGATTAAAAAAAAAAATCACCACCCAACAGTATGGTGTTTCGGAAACCATGAAATGACAGCGTCTAGGATAGAGGTTGGGGTGGATTTTTAACACCATCAAAAGCTACAGAAAGTGCTAACAACAAGCCATTGTTGTGGTTGAGTCACATCCAATTCTTCGTGACCCCATGGACCATAGCACACCAATTCTGTCCATGGGGTTTTCTTGGCAAAGATAGTGCAGTGGTTTGCCAGTTCCTTCTCCAGTGGATTAAGGCAACTTAAGTAACTTGTCCAGGGTTAAAAGGTTAAGTGTCTGAGGCTGTATTTGAATTAAGGCCTTCCTAACTCCAGGCCCACCACTCTATCCACTGAGCCACTTAGCTGCCTCAAGAACAGACCATTGATTTTGATGATTAGAAGATACTTGGTGATCGTGGAGAGAACAATTTTGATAGAGTGATGAGGCACAGTAGAGCTGCAGAGGACTGAGGAGAAAGTGGGTAGGTGAGATGGGACAGTAGCTAGATGAACTAGAAGAGTCAAAAGAAGGCTTTTTCAGGATTGGGGAGGGCTGAGCAGACAAAAAAGATCCAATGGATAGAGAGAGATTAGAGATGCGTGGGGTGGGGATGTGGTTAGGGATGGGATAGCTACTGGAGCAGTTCTGGAAGAGATGGAAGGGACTGGGCCCAAAGGTGCCTGTCGAGTGATCTTAATCTACTTTTGTGATAAGAAGGAAATGGGAGGAAAAGGGCAACAGTGCAGAGGGGAGGGGCTGAGGGAATTGATATTGTGTCACCTCTACTCTTCTCCATAAAAGGCTAGAAATCATCTATTGTCAGGTGGTGGTGATGGGTGGTGTTGCATGACTGCAATTGGGAGTTAGAGGAGAGAAGAGAAGATTTTGAAAAGCTGGCTGTGATGCTTCTCTCCTCTTACTGGAGAAGTGAAGGAGTAGAGATACTGAGTGAGGTGTATATTATTAAACATGGCCAATGTATTGATTTGGGGTGAGAAGAGTAAAATCCTCTGTATGGCATTCATTTTGCTTAGCTGTGTGTCTGTCTTGCAAGAGGAGGTTTATTTGTGCAGATGGGAATCATTGGGAGTGACCAGTGGAAAAAAAGAGTATTAATGAAACATTTTTAAAAAGAAAGAAACCTTAAGGAAAAAAGAAAGGAAAATTTGCTATAAGGAATGAAATTCAAAAGTAGATGATAGTGAAATTGTTATTGCTGTTTATCCTTCATTTTCAAAGAGGACCAAAGACATCACAAGGTGATTATCTTGACTTGTATGTGAATTGGATTTAAGTGAGGCAGAGTTGCACAAAGTCATCAGCTTCACTCTTTCTTCCAGAGTCATCGAAGTCCAGTGGCAAGACAAAAATCAGGACAACTGGCAATAGCCTGGGATGCAGTGGATGATCTTGACATCTTCAATGTCTGACCAAGATCTAGGTGCTCCATAGCACCGAATTCAGCTGCCTTCATGGCCATTGGAACAAATTATTCTCATCTGCCCATTCTGCAAGGGGAAGTTTTCACTTGCTTGGTGTAGACATGCCCCTAACTCACTGATGGGTTTGAGGCCTGTCAATTATGCTCAACCTGGTTTAGCCCATCTGCTGAGACAGTTTACCAGGGTGTGGCTGCTACACATACTACAACTTCTTGGAGCCACAGGTGAGAGCTGGGTGACAGGTAGAAACCAAAGGTGGATAAGCAGCCCAGAAAAGGGCTCAGCAGCCCTCACACCAAAGCTGCTAGTCCTCCCTGCACACCCCATAAACCCTGAGAGTAGAGTAGAATGACTGTCAAGAAGCAATTAGGGGCCGAGGGGTTATATATAGCCAATGAATTTATACAGAGTGAAATTAGCTCAGTTTTGTGATTTTCTTCAATGACACTTAGCGGCCAAGTGGTGAGAGTAGAAAAAATTAGATTTGTCTGAGGCCACAAGAGATGTGGCATCTGAACACCTAAGAGGGTAAGAGAAGGCAAGGAAAGGGAGAAAGAAACATGAAAAGGTTCTTGAATAAACTTTGCTCCTTTACACTGTGACTTGGGTTCAGCTGCGGTGCTACCAGAAAGGGGTTGTTAGTGGATGGGTGGAAGGTGAAACTGCTCAGAAACCCGGTGATAGGGCCCGAGATGCTTCATCATGGGAAGCAGAAGAGAACCCCGGTTGTCCATGAACTTCTGGTGACTGAGGGTTATCACAGGAGAATCTCTAACAGGCTTAAAACCTGGGTGTCATCTTTGACTCCTCACTCACTTTCCCTTATCCCCCATATCTAATCTGTTGCCAAGTTCTGTTGATTTTACTTTAATAACATCACTTGTATACATCCCCTTTTCTCCTCTGACCCTGCCACCACTCTGATACAAGCCCTCATCACTTCACATCTGGATTATTGTAACAGCCCGCTGGTGAGTGGGTCTGTCTGCTTCAAGTCTCTCCCCACTCCAGTGCATCTTCCACTCAATTGTCAAATTGATCTTCCTAAAAGCACAAGTCCAATCATCATCATCGTCTCACACACACACACACACACACACACACACACACACACACACAGAGCTCCAGTGGCTTCTTATCACTTCCAGGATAAAAAATAAAATCTCTGAATGACATTCAAAGCCCTTCATTACTTTCTCCTCCTTCCCTCTCCCCGTCAGCCTCTTCACTCTCTTCTCACACCTGCCTGCCCTTCATAGACTCCATGCTCCAGTGACACTGGCTTCCTGGCTATTCCTCAGACAGGCTGTCCCCCATGCCTCTGAAGCTCTCCTGGCCACCCTGGCTTTAGCCTCAGCTACAATCCCACTTACAAGAAGCCTTTCCCAGTCACCCTTAATGCTGTTTCCTTCCCTCTGTTGATTATCGCCACTTTTATTCTGCATGTATCTTCTTTGTGCATAGTTATTTGCATGTTGTCTCTCTCATCATACTGTGAGGTCATTGAAAGCAGGGACGTCTTTTGCCTTTCTTCGTATCCCCAGTGCTCGGCAAAGTGCCTGACATGTGGTAGGTACTTAATAAATGCTTAATGGCTGACTACCTGACCTTAGGAATCCAAAGTGTTGGGTTCTGTTCTGAGCTCTGAACTCTTGTCAGCTAGATGTCTGACTATGGGCAAATCCATCTTCCTTAGCTGTGAAATGAAAGGGTTGAATTAGACAGATAGTCCCTAAGGTCCCTTCCAAGCTTTGACATTCTTCAGTGCTATGAGTCGATGATTCTGGGATTCCCAAGTCATGGGCCTCGCAGCTGGTGAAAGGGCCTACCATCTTGTCTGCTGTGAGTGCAGTGAGTTTGTGGTGACTGCCTGCCTGCCACCCCTGCTCCTGACTTTGTCCCTGGTTTGTGTGTTTGCACTGCAGAGAATGGGTGGAAGATACTCAGCTATGGATCCAGCAGGTGTCCAGCACCCCCAGCACCAGGATGGATGTGGTGCATCTCCAGGAGCAGCTGGACTTGAAGCTGCAGCAGCGCCAGGCTCGCGAGACGGGCATCTGCCCAGTGCGCAGGGAGCTGTACTCACAGTGCTTTGGTGAGTGCGTCTGGGGGCGGCAAGGTGGCCAGTGTGGGGAGCAGGGTGGACTCAGAGCTGAGCTGGGAGAGCACGGACACCCAGCTGGGCTCAGCTCGTGAAAATGGCCACCTGGGACTTCATCCTCTGAAGGGCTCAAAGTGTTTCCTCCCCTGGCATCATCAGCTGTGAAGATGCTATGGAGCATCAGGACTTAGGCTCTCACAGTTGGGGACGCTGAAGGCCAGAGGGGTTGTCAGTAAGTCAACAAGCATTCATGAAGATCTCACCGTGTGTGCCAGGCACCGTGCACAGATGGGCCTACAAAGAAAGGCAAAAACAGTCTCTGCCTTCAAAGAGCTGCCATTTCAACGGAGGAGTCAACTGGCAAACACTCATGTACATGTAAAGCACATACAGTACAAAGGAGTGCTAACCTCTGAGGGCGGGCATGGCAGTGGGAGTGGGGGCATGGTGAAGACTGGGAAAAGCTTCTTGTGGGAGGTGGAATTAGAACTGAGTCTTAAAGGAAGCCAAGGAAGCCAGAAAGTAGAAGTGAGGAGGGGAAACATTCCCAGCATGGGGCAGGAGGCAGAGAGTTAGAAGGCGGGTCAGTGATAAGAGGTCCAAGACCACCAGGAAGGGCAGACTAGACTTAGAGATATGTCTCAGTTTCTTATAGCTTCTAAATATCAGTCTTTTATCTGATATAGTCACGGAAAATAATTTTTGCCAGTCTGTTTCTTTGCCTTTAAAGGTATTGTTTTTTGTTACATGAAATCCTTTTTTAAAAATCTGTGTATAAACAAAGCCACTGATTTTTGTGCCTTAACAACTCTTTCCATTTGTTTGACTAAAATACTCATACTCTCTGCAGGTGGGACAAATATCGTTTTTTAAAAGTAGCAGGTCCAGGGTCTCATCCAGCTCTAGTAGTAGTCTGCCATCTCCAAGTGTAGACGGTTCCTTCTGCTAATCCAACTCCCTCCTTGGTAATGAGCACAAATCTCCTTACAGAAACCCCCCTTCATACTGGTGTGCGTGCATTTGGCCTCTGGAGGCCCTGGGCACCTCACAGATTGCTCTGCCCCATAGCGCCCCCCTAGGTAGCTTCAGGCCTTGTGACCAGGACTGTCATGCAGTTACTAACCCCTCTTACTTCTGGCCTCCCCTCAGCTCACCAGTCAGTATCCTCATTACAACTGGAGTCACTGCTTGTATTTAGAAGCTGCTTGGAATGGGGAAAGAGAACTCTTTGGTGATTTGAAAGTATGCAATCCAACCGCATTCAGACCACAGTCCAGAGACGTCTCTCAGAGATTAATTTGCTTACGATTTGATAAACTGACTGGCGCCAAGAGGCTTCAACAAGAGGTCTCCTTAAAAAACTGTGCTTTTTGGCTGCTCCCCAGCTTCTCCGTGTCAGGCTGGGCACTTACTGTTCAGTCCTGTGTTAGCCCCATCCTCAGGACCCCAGGGGAACTGGGATGCCCACCAGCCCCGTCCAGGCCTACCCAATCAGATGGCTACATGGGATGCCTTCCCAGGCTCCTACGGAAAGAAGTGAATTCCCAACACCATGCACAGCGTCTGTTTGATAAATAGTTCCAGATAGGTAATAAATGCTGAATTGTAGCGGAAGGAGCACTGGCCAGGGAGTCAGGAGTACAGGGTTCAGATCCCAGCTTTGTCATTAACCCTTTGTCTGACCTAAGCAAGTCACTTCCCCTTGCCAAGATGAGCCTCTGTTTTCTCAGCTGTTAAATGAGGGGATTTTGATTGCACTAGTTACCATACCTTACAAGGATCAACAGAAGAGACTAGGAATATTTAGCCAGGAGAGTCCTTGGAGTGGACATGACAGTTGAATTTGCCATTTGGAAGTAGGTTAGAGCTTTTCTGCTTAATCTCAGAGGATAGAACCAGTAGTAGTAAGCAGGTGGAGAATAGAGAGGAAGATTTAAGCTCTAAGTAGGGAAAAACTTCCTCATAATGAAAGTTATCTAAACATAGAATGAGAGGATCAGAGTGTAAATCATAAACTCTGCCAACCTCCATGTATAAGAGAATGACACTGAAACTCATTGAGGGGGTACAGCTTACATGGTTCTCAGAGGAAAATTTTTCTCTGAAAACTTACACTAACAGACAGAAAAGGAGAGGATCAAGACACTGAGTATTCAGACACGACCTAGAAAAGCAACGAACGAACAAGCCTAGAATAAGCCCCAAAGGAATGTTGACAATTTCAAAAGTGGCATGGGCTGCCTCTGGATACAGCGGGCTCTTAGCCCCTCACTGGAGGGCTTCAGACAAAAGTTGGATGGCAGCTTGTTTGGGTGGCAGGAGGTGGGATTCCTGTCCAATCTAAGATTCTATGAGATGCTGTCCTGGGGCCCTTCGAGCTCCAACATTTGGGGCTCTCTGGCATCTGCTTTTCTGCTACTGACGGGGGAGGGGTGTGAGGACACAAAGTGCCCCAAACAGCACCAGCTTTGGTCTTGGAGGCAGAAGATCCAGGCTCAAGTCCCAGCCCAGCCACTGCTGTGTAACTGTAGGCAAGTCACTTAGCTTCTTGGGAGGCTCCCCATTTCCGCTCATCTGTAAGGTAACTTGGGGGTGTTTGTGAGAAAAGCCCTTTGAAAAAGCCCAGTGTAGATATGGGAATAACAATTATACTGAGTAGTGGGCTTGTATCCTCAATATATCTTAAAACTCCTCAATTCCACAGAGAGGTGAACTCTGGTCTGCTGTCAGGGCATTGTCCTAGGCTGACTGCCTGGTACTCCACAAACCTCGGTTTTGGCATTCCGTCTCCATCAGAGAAGTGCTTGGTCTGGTGGGAATGGACTCTGTGAGTCATCACATTCCTTCCTCTGTGCCCCATGAGAGAGAGAAAGAGAGTGCCACCCCAGTTTTCCCTGAACTGTTTTTTTTTTACCTTGGACCACATCTCCAGTTCGAGTCAAAAGCAGTCAAAAGAGAGCATTGCTTTTCTCAGCATTCTTGTCAGGGAGAAAATATGGTTGGTAATGCCCAAGTTGCCTTTTCCAGCCTGCCGTCTTCACTGACCTGTGTGTGTGTGTGTGTGTGTGTGTGTGTATGTGTGTGTGTATCTCCCTGTGTCTTGGAAGATGAGCTGATCAGAGAAGTGACCATAAATTGTGCGGAGCGGGGCTTGCTGCTTCTGCGTGTCCGGGATGAGATCCGCATGACCATCGCAGCCTATCAGACCCTGTATGAAAGCAGTGTGGCCTTTGGCATGAGGAAGGCACTCCAAGCTGAGCAAGGGAAGTCCGACATGGAGAGGAAAGTGAGTGGGATGAGGGGACTCCTCGTGCACTCTCTGCCCCCCATGGCCAAGCCTGCAGATGCTTGTCCCCTCTGTCTCCTGGGCCCTCTGTCCAACTTAGGTCCAGGAGGCATAAGTCCCCCTCCATTCTAGACTCCTGAAGTCCCCTGGGACACTCCTCATGTTCCTCATGTTCTCAGGAAGCATAGCATTTATACCAAATAGTCCTCTCTAATATAAATCTCATCATTTACATTTCAATAGGTCACACTGTTTTAAATCACAATCACCTTCTAAGCATATAGTGGAGTGTACTTTTGGTTTCTTTCCTAGGCTTCAGTGTTAACAATTTGGAATTCCACTGGGTGGCAGTAAAGATTCTGGGAATATGGGATTTTCCCCTTGGTTTCATACATGAACTTA